CACCCGTGCCTAGCCCGTAGTCTAGCTCTCGTTGCTGAAGTTATCTTCGCATGGTGCGGTGAGCGTGGAAGACACTGCGATGTTGTACAGTATAGCTGACTTTGCCCTTACCGATTGTGTTCGTAGGCCGGCAGCCGTGCAGTCACTAGCGTGCGGGTTGGTGACGCCGAGGTGATGGACACCTTGGAGGCACAGCTGGAGGATGCGAGGAGACGCCATGAGGCTCAGGAGTACGGGGTGATACCCTGGGCGGTCATCGAGGTAGGACTCCACTCCGTGTGGGCGGCGGAGCACCCCCCTTCTCGACCAGCCTCTCCTCGACTGGTGAACAAAGACGGCGGCGTCGACGTGGGCGTCCACGCCAGTGGAGGTCAGGTCGGCGGCAGTGCGGGAGGCACGTTGAGGCAACGAGGTGTGATACACGCTGGTGAAGCCGGCGGCATTCAGGCGCGAGGGATGCAGTCGTCGGCGGCTGCACGCTCCTTGCAGGGCGACATCGAAGGTCGACGGAGCGGACTGTCGCCGATGTCGGCGACCCTGGTGACGGCGGGCGGGATAGCACCGAGCTACAGCTACTTCAAGTTTACGCCGGACAGGATCTTGGTCACCCCGCCGCTCGTTGGTCGACAGGACATACTCACTTGGAAGGAAGCCATCAAGCCCCAGTTGGAGATGGCCGGGCTTGTCGGCTTCGCTTGAGGGACTGTGGCGACGCCGGGGAGCACTATCCCGACTTGCGAGCAGAGTTTCGCGCCGTGCAGCTGTTGACCTTCACGGTCATTTCGCGGTGCTGCTCGCTGGGCGTGCAGATCGCTCTGAAGTGGTGCCTGGAGTACCTCGACGCTGACCACCGGATGTGCTCATCGGGTTGACGTACCAGGTCACCGACGACCTGTTCATCGCCCAGCTTGAGGGGCAGCTGACGCACCTGCATATGGGCGACGAGGAGACTGTTACGGACTACTGCAACCTAGCCCAACGAATTCTCGCCACCATAAGGATGGCCGGCACGCAGTACTCGACGGTGTTGTACATCATGCACGTCATGCAGGGACTCTCGAGCGGCTACAACCTCCTGAAGCGGGTGTCAATGGCGCCGAGCACGAGGGCGACGCTCAACGAGGACAACTTGACATCGTACATCCTGCAGGACGAGGCAATGCAGGAGGCTGAGCGGTCCCAGGAGCTCTTGGCGCAGGCAAACTTCGTCGCCCCGGCGAGGCAAGGTGGCCGACCGGGGCAGCGTGGGCAGCCTGGCGGCGGTGGTAGCAGCGGGTGGAAGCCGGCGAAGGACGCCGATAAGCAGAAGCCGGCTACGAGTGGTGGTAGAGGAGGAGGGAATCGGCATCGGGAGTGTTGGATCTGCCACAGCCCCGACCACCTCTCCTTTGAGTGCCCCGACCGCAGCGATACCGACGACAACAAAACCAAGGGTGGTCGCGGGAGGTCTGGCAGCCATTGTCCACGTCGAGGAAATCAGCCGCGCAAGGAGAAGCAGTCAAACAAGTCGACCTTGGCGAAGGACGCCGACTCCTCTGCTGGCGGCAAAGGGCGAGACGACAAGGAGGCGTCGTGCTCGCTGGTCGGCGTTGTGGAGCCGACCGTCTTGCTGGCGCCGGAGGTTGGCGAGGAATTCCAGGCGGTGGCGGCAGCTGTGCAGGCAAACCCGGCGGTGGTTCTACTCGACAGCGGCTGCTCGCACCACCTAATGGGGACGAAGGAGGTCTTCGTCGACCTGCAGCTGAGCGGAGACATCAAGCACCTGCGCGGCTTCAATGGGGCACCGCAGGACGTTCAGGGCCGTGTTAGAGACTAAAGACGGAGTCTACGAAGATAAGGTGTCTTAAATTTCTCTAAATCGTTGGGCTTAGTTTCTGGACAGAAAAGTCGAGTTCACAAGAAACGTCTTCGACGAAATGTTCACGGTCTAAACTTCATCAAACTCAGATATGATGTAGCCCTAGTCCATGGCTACAATTCCCAATTTGAATCGTACAATAAGGTGAAGTATTTCTTGACTTATCAATTTCGGCGCATAGAGGGGTATGCTGCCATGAGAACTTAACTCAATCACAAAGTTCATACAATTTCACAATCACTACACAAGAGAGTTAGAGTAGCAATAAATCAGGTGGGATGGGATGAGGAGGACGAGAGGGAAGGTCCCAAGATATTCCCCAACCAAGGAAACCCCATGCCACACAATTCCCTTCTCCATAGGCAACCCCACATTCACTTTTGTCACTTTCCCAACCCATGCCATCCACCTTGTCCAACTTGGCCACACTTGCCAACCTGATTTGGCACCTCCCAACCACTTGGCAGTATCTACAGTGATGTTGACGAATATTCCAACCCCCAAAAGTCTGTACCCCTTATGGAGTCAACCCCACAACTTCCTATAGTCACCACAACCAAATATCAAAAGCCTACAAACTTCCAACGTTCGTAACTTTCTTGTTCGTGCTCCGATTGAAGCGATACTTGGTTCGTCGGAAAGATCTTGAGCAGAGGAGTCACTTCAAATATCTGCTCAAGCTAAATAACATTCACACACACTCAGAAAAAACCAAACCGCACAAAACACAAATTCTTGCATACGCTCACACCACGCATGCAGCGCACGAACACATGATGGGAGGCAGACAGACGTGAATGCATATGATTGCATCACACAACAGGCCGCGGCACTGTCGCTCTGCAAGGGACGACCGGGAAGCGGGTGCTCATCCCTGACGTGTTGTACGTCCTAGGCGTCCGAGCTAACCTGTTGTCGGCCGGCAAGCTGAAGGAGACCAGCGAGAAGCCGCAGGAGGACGGCGACGGGATGTTGCTCGTCTTGGCGGCATGAGAGGTTCTCTGTGAGGCGACGTATATCGGGCGTGTCCTCTGCAAGGACCTGCGACCCTGCGCGGCCAAGCAGCTGACGTCCAAATCGGAGGTGGTGGCCCTGCGAGCGATAGTCTCGGCGACGAAGGCAACGCCGAGCAGACTGCACGCGAGGCTTGCTCACGTTGGCATGGACACTATCAGGACCTCGGCGAAGCATGAGGTTGCCACCGGGCTGGACCACAAGTCGGCGTCTGGCGCCGACTCTCCGTGCGTTCCGTGCATCGGCGGGAAGCTGGCGCGACACACCTTCCCCGACCAGGGTTCCGACGCCGAGGACGTGCTGGCCGTTGTGCACATCGACCTATGCTGGCCTTTCCGCGTGGCTGCCAAGGACGGTAGCCTGTATTTCTTGCTGCTGAAGGACCGCAAGACCCGCTACGTGTGGGTGAAGCCTGGCGCCAAGAAGTCAGATGCGCTGCAGATGTTCGTGCAGTGGTTGGCGATGGCTGAGCGGCAGACGAAGAGGTCGGTGTTGTTGCTGCGCTCTGACCGAGGAGGGAAGTTCCTCGAGAAACAGTTCACCGACTTCGTGAACGGCAAGGGAATTGTCCATGACCTGACCTGCCCGTACACCCCGCAGCAGAACGGCATGGCGGAGCGGGAGATGAGGACGGTTGTGGAGTCAGTGAGGACGATGCTGTTGTACATGGGCGTGCAGCACCACTGGTGGCACTTCGCTCTCCAGCAGGCCGTCTGGGTCCGCAACTGCCTTGAGAGGTCAACGCTACCGCCGGAGACGACGCCGTACCAGCTGCTGACCAGGAAGAAGCCCGACTTGTAGCTGGCGCGGGTGTGGGGCTGCATGGCGCAGTTCTTGGTCCCCGAGCAGCAGCGTGGTGGGAAGCTGCAGACGAAGGCCAAGTGGGGCCTTCACCTCGGCGTGTCAGAGGAGAGCAAGGGCTGGGAACTTCTCGACATCACCGACCACCGAGTGGTCACCACGTCGGACGTGGTGTTCTACGAGAGCATGTTGCTGGAGGTGTGGAAGTCGGCGCATGGGCCGGCGTCATGGCGGATGTCGGTGTTGAACAAGAATGAATGAACTAAGAGTGAAATGAGTACAAGTATCAAAACCTAGGAATGTGTACCCCCTATAAGCTAACCCACTGTAGCCTAAACAACTACAACAACATATATAATCTTTGACACACCCCCATAGGCGAAGTGGGGGAGAACTAGGGGTCACAAGACCAGTCAAGTAAAGCAAAACAAAGCAAGCTCAGGGTGGATCACAACGTCACCACACAATCCGAGCACAAGTGCAAGGCCACAAGGCCAGTTCACATGCAGGAGTACAGATATATATATATAAGACTAAACAAGCAAGAGCGGTGATATATATATGTAACAGTACAAAGAGGGTCAAGAGGAGAGCAAGTGAGGCAAGACAGACACAAGACCCAGCTGGGTACAGCAGCGCTGATGATCACAAGGCGGAAGTGCCTTGGTGAAGACATCAGCACTGTTGGCCTCAGAGGCCACGTACGCAAGTCGCAACTGACCACGCTGCTGTAGCTCACAAGCAAGGAAGTAGCGGAGAGAAATGTGCTTTGTTCTGTGCTCCAGTCTCTGCTGCCGACACAAGGCCAGCATGGCCTTGTTGTCGACGTACAGGACTGGAGGAGAACAAGGCGGCTCTCCAAGGTCGGTCAGCAGGTAGGTGAGCCAGCGAAGCTCCTGAGCAGCCATGGCCCCTGCGTAGATCTCAGCCTCACAACTGGAGCCAAGAACAGAAGACGAGCGAGTGGCCCGCCACGAAACAGAGCCGGAACCAAGGCTGAAGGTGTAACCCTGTGACGACCGCTGCGTAGCCTGGTCGTCAGCCCAAGAAGCGTCTGCGTGTCCAGTGAGGACCACTGGACTCCGCCCTCCAAGCACTAGTCCCATGCCCGACGTACTGCACAAGTAGCGCAACGTACCTGACCTTGCATGCAAGTACTTCAGGTACATGAGACAGCCAACAAGCTCTGGGTACGGGCCACTCGACTCTACGGACTCATCCGAAGGCAGAGCTGAGAGCGAGTGGCAAGTAGACAGAGGAGTGGCCTGAGGCGAGGAGTACGTGAAGCCGAAGCGCTGAAGAACCTGCTGCACCATGTGTGACTGAGTCAGGGTAATGGTGCGGCGTGCTCTGTCCCGGGTATCTGCAAGCCAAGGTAGCTGCGCAGTTCACCCAGGTCAGTGCACGTGTGTCTCTTCTGCAGCTCGGACTTCACGTAGGCGAGTCCAGTAGTGTCAGCTGTGGCAAAGACCAAGTCGTCGACGTACACGAGGATGTAGAACGGCGGCAGAGAGGTGTCGGTGCGCAGAAACAGCGACGGGTCGGCAGTAGACGGAGCGAACCCAAGAGCCGCAAGCGTAGTCCTCAGTGTGTCGTGCCACTCACGTGGCGCCTGGCGGAGACCATAGACTGGACGCCGGAGACTCCACTAAGTACCAGGAGGGAAAGACCTAGTGAAGCCAGGTGGGCGACGCAGCCAAATCTCCTCGTGCAGGCTGCCCTGCAAGAAAGCAGTGCTGAAGTCGAGAGAGTGAAGCTCGTAGTCCCGGTGAGCAGCAACGTGCAGGAGTACCCGATGAGTGGTCATCTTCGGGGTGGGGGAGAAGGTCTGAAAGTAGTCAACTCCCTGCCGCTGACTGAAGCCACGAGCCACGTAACGCGCCTTGAAGACAGGCGGAGAACCCGGCGGCCGCTTCACCCTGAAGATCCACATGCCACTGACGATGTTCGCTCCAGGAGGGGGGACAGCGTCAACGTAGGTGCCTGTGGACTTCCAGGAAGCCATCTCTGCATCCATAGCTGCCTGCCACTGAGAGGAGTAGGGACCCTCTATCGCCTCCGCGTAAGAGCGCGGAGTCGGGATGTCAAGTGCATCCGGGTCTCCCTCAGGGGTAAGCAGTACGGACACGAGATGAGGTGAAGCAGCTGCCAGACACTGGAACTCCTCCTGCCTGTCCTCAAGGACGTCCGGGCCAAGGGCACACTCACCCCCGACGGACGGAGGACAGACAGACTCAGACTCAGCGACAAGACTAGCAGCGTAGTCTAAGCGACAGCGAGCAGCAAAGTCGACGAGCTCAGTAACGAGAGCAGACGCAGCAGTAGACTCGAAAGAAGGGTCAGTGACAACAGTAGCAAGGAGACGCGTGATAGTAGGACTGGCAGCACGAAGAGAGTCCGACTCAGGGTCGGCGAGAGCAGGAAGAGAGGACGCAGGAGGAGAAGGCAAAGGGGCACGCAGAGGAGCAGTAGACGGACGTAGAGACATCCGGTGCGTGCCAGGGGCAGGAGGAGGACGCTGGCGCGAACTACGAGCACTAGCGCTAGCAGGACGGACAGGCGACGCCGGACGAGACGCAGACTCACGACGCTCAGTAAGACCGCCAGTAGGACCAGTGTAAGGAGAATGAGCAGGTAGTGGGGAGGCCGGCTGCAACTGTAACTGTGACGGGACAGGCTGTGAACACGCTAAGGGAGGAGGACCAGGAGGAGGCGAGAGACCAAGAACCTGCTGAAGGAGCGGAACGAAGTACGGCTGAGGGCGCGCGGCGACTCCAGACACAGCAGGGATAGCACCTGTACCCCCAGCGGCAGTACCAGAACCAGCAGCAGCTCCAACGCCCAGGTCCTCAGTACTAGCCTCAGCACCTACGCCCGAGTCCTCAGCACCAGCAGTGGCTCCAACACCAGGGTCCACCGCACCTGCCGCAGCTCCAACGCCCGGGTCCTCAGCACCAGCAGGGACTCCGACACCAGGGTCCACAGCACCAGCCGCAGCTCCAACGCCAGGGTCCGCAGCACCAGCCGCAGCCCCAACGCCCGGGTCCTCAGCACCAGCAGCACCTCCAACCCTCGGGTCCGCAGCACCAGCAGCAGCTCCAACGCCAGGGTCCGCAGCACCAGCAGCAGCTCCAACGCCAGGGTCCGCAGCACCAGCAGAAGCTCCAACGCCCGGGTCCGTAGCACAAGGGGCAGCCGGGTCCGTGAGACGAGGCGCACCACTCCGAAGTGTGCAACGGCGCTCGTACCACTCACGGATCCGCTCACGAGAGGGGAGCTCCCGACTAGGAGGAGAAGTACCAGCCCCAGTCCCTGTAGTGCGCCTGGTCCCAGAGGTAACACTCCGGAGGCTGCAGTATTGTAAGTATCACTCACGCAACTGCTCCGAGAAGAGGTTGCGTCCAGGTGTAGCACCCTCAGGCCCAGCACCGCAAGGCTCAGCACCCCCAGTCACCGCACCCTAAGGCTCAGCACCCCCAGGCTCAGTACCCCCAGTGTCCGCACCCCCAGACTCAGCACCCCCAGAGTCCGCACCCCCAGGCTCAGCACCCCCAGAGTCAGCACCCCCAGGCTCAGCACCCCCAGTCTCCGCACCCCCAGGCTCAGCACCCCCAGCAGGACGAGAGTCGACAGCAACCTCAACAGGCTCGACCGGGTCTACCTGAGACACACCTGAGGGAGCGGCACCCTGAGGGGGGAGGGGGTCTACGACAGCAGCACCTGGCGCGAGGAAGAGAGGCGGGGGTGGGAGCGGGGCAGTGCGGTAGGGAAAGAGGCGGTAGTAGGGGACAGACTCGTCAAAAGTGACGTCCTGAGAGGGCAAGACCCGGCGCGAGGTGGCGTGGTAAAACTGCCAACCAGGCGCGTCCGGAACAAAGCCGAGGAAGACGCAGGGAACAGCACGAGAAGAGAGCTTGTCCGCAGACGAATCGCGGACAAAAGCTCGAGATCCCCAGACCCGGAAACGCGACGCATCGCCAACCTCCCCCGTCCACAGCAGTGTGGGCGAGGTCTCCGGCAAGGAGACACGGGGCCAGAGGTTGAGCTGATGCGCAGCGTACCGGACCGCAAACGGCCACAGAAAGTGGGGGGCAGCCGCATGGATCAAGGAGGTACGAGCGACCTCCATGACCAGGCCAATGCGGCGCTCTGCAACCCCATTCTGCTGTGGAGAGGCCGGAAGCGTGAACGACTGCTCAATGCCGTGCTCAGCACAGTAGGCTGCCAAGAGGTCGGAGGAGAACTCACCACCTCTGTCAGAGTGCAAGCGCAGGACAGGAAAGTCCAAGCGGAAACGCTCGCTGAGCTGGAGACGAGCTCTGCGGATCCAAGGGATCAAAACATCAGGGACCTCACCCTTGGCTCGCAAGGGGAAGACCGTGGTGTAGGGCGAGTAGTCGTCAACAACGATCAGGAAGTACCTCTCCTGACCCTGACCACGGACGCGGGCTGGGCCCCACACGTCCATGTGGAGCGTCTGCAAAGGAGCAGTCGTCGGGGGAAACGAGGAGGAGTGAGGAGCGGCGCGCTGCCGCCCCTCGACACAGGGAAGGCAGGGAGGAGCAGGCGAGGGTGGGAGAGGAGGGAGAACCCTGGGAAGACCAGAGACAAGGTACCGGGAGTGCATGGCACGAAGGCGCTGCACAGACGGGATTGAACTAGCAAGAATGAGGATACAAATAGCAAACCCTAGAAGGGTTGTACTCGCTATAGAGCACCCCACTACAGGCTAGAACAATAAGATAATATTCTGACACACCCCCATAGCCAAAGTGGGGTGTAATCAGCAGAGCAGGCAAAACAGTACAAGCTCAGGGTGGATCACAATGTCACCACGCATTCTGAGCACAAGGTCAAGAAGAAATAGTTCAAAGTTAACAATTATGAGCAAAGCTAGCAGTGGTCACAACGGGCAAGTGAGGAGGAGGAGGGAGAGTGAGAGGAGAGGAGATAGAAGGCGGCGGCTGAAGCTGCAGACACACGGGCAACAGGAGTGGCGAGCACAGTGGCTACCGGGACAGCGCCCCGGACTACGGGAGTAACAGGCCCCGCGGCTCAAGTAGCGGCAGACGGGCAACGGACCCACAGGCGACCGGCTCAGCGACAAGCTCACTGGGCTACCGGGACAGCGCCCCGGACTACAGGTGCTGCGGACGACAAACTGGCAACCTCCGTTCAACCTCCCACACACAGTCCCACCCCCCTCATACACACCCACTGCTACACCGCTAGCTCCACTCCCACGCACCCCCCTTAAACCCTAAACCCAGTCTCCCACACAACCACCCCCCTCAGCGACAGCTGCAGCAGTGGGAGACGAAGGAGGAGGAGGAGAAAGGGAGGAAGGCACACCGGCCACCCCCATACCCGCCACCCCACAGCTCGCCCCTCTGGTCGCCACGACGGACGACGGGAAATGGGAGGGAGGGGGGGGGGGGGGGGGGGTGTGGAGGAAAGGGCCCACCACGGACCTGATTGGAGGGCGGAGCCGCGACAAGGGGCGGGGCCGCAACGAGTGGCGGGGCCGCGACGGTCAGGGCGGGGCCGCGACAGGTAGGGCGGGGCCGCGAAGGTAGGGCGGGGCCGCAACGGTCGGGGCGGGGCCGCGACGTAGGGCGGGGCCGCTTCGAGGGGCGGGGCCGCGACACAGGGTGGGGCCGCGACGAGGGGCGGGGCCGCGACGAGGGGCGGGGCCGCGACGAGGGGCGGGGCCGCGACGGTCGGGCAGGGCCGCGACGTAGGGCGGGGCCGCGACGGTCGGGCAGGGCCGCTTCGAGGGGCGGGGCCGCGACACAGGGCGGGGCCGCGACGAGGGGCAGGGCCGCGACGTAGGGTGGGGCCGCGACGGTCGGGCAGGGCCGCGACGTAGGGCGGGGCCGCGACGTAGAGCAGACGCCCGCCGCGCGCCCCGGGGCGCACAGCGGGCAAAGAACCGCCGCGCGCCCCGGGGCGCACGGCGGGCAGAAAACCGCCGCGCGCCTCGGGGCGCACGGCGGGAAGAAAACCGCCGCGCGCCTCGGGGCGCACGGCGGGAAGGAAAACCGCCGCGCGCCTTGGGGCGCACGGCGGGAAGGGAAAGGTAGCAGCGGAAGCGAGGTGGTAACCCACCCACAGGATCGATCCAAAGGGATCGACCTGCTCTGATAGCATGACAAAATTAGAAGAAAGAAAGAGGATTGAACTAGCAAGAATGAGGATACAAATAGCAAACCCTAGAAGGGTTGTACTCGCTATAGAGCACCCCACTACAGGCTAGAACAATAAGATAATATTCTGACAGAGCGTCTGCAAAGGAGCAGTCGTCGGGGGAAATGAGGAGGAGTGAGGAGCGGCGCGCTGCCGCCCCTCGACACAGGGAAGACACGGAGGAGCAGGCGAGGGTGGGAGGGGAGGGAGGACCCTGGGAAGACCAGAGACAAGGTACCGGGAGTGCATGGCACGAAGGCGCTGCACAGACGGGTGGCCCAGTCGGTGGTGCCAGAGGACAGTCTCGTGCGCTAGAGAGCGACACGAGCAGGGGGCCAACAGCTGACCTGACGCGGACGCAGACGCAGACGCAGCGACCTGAGGGGGGGCAGTAGTCAGTGTGTACAGGTCCGACCCCGGCTGCCGGGTGAAGGTAGCCAAGTGGCGGCCTGTACGGGCACACGTGCAGTGTGTGACACGCTCGTAAGCAGGGGTGAACTGGTGAACACCCGCGTCCTGTAGTGCACAACCTGCCACCAAGTTCGTAGAGAACGAGGGGAGGTGGAGACCTGACAGTGTGCCCGACGGGACCGCAGGACAGGGAAGGACAGTGGAGGAGGTCGCAAGGACCGGACCCCCAGAGGGGTCAGCGAGGGAGACAGCAACTGGCCGAGCAAGGGGCTCAAGAGCAGTGCAGTCACGAAAGAAACAGCGAGAGGCACCTGAATCCAGTGTGAAGGTGTGCAGTGCTGCAGTCGACACAGTACTAGGGGGGGCAGACGTACACGCACCTAGAGCAGCAGCCTCACCAGCCCCTGGGGTAGCGGACACGCGAGTACCTGGAGCGGCAGATGCACTAGTCCTAATGCCCGGGTCGGGCGGGACACTCAGGTACTCAGCACCCTCTCCACTAGTAGACATCACATACATGGCAGTGAGAATAGCATCAAAGTCTAGAGCATAAATATCAATCCCCTTCTTCAGGAGATCAACCCAGCGGGGCAGCTCAGTGGCCTGAGGGAACTGAACACGCCAAGCGTCGTTCAGACGAGCGAAGCAACGCTGTGTGGCGTGTGGTCCCCCACACGGCTGGCCAGTGCGGTCACCAGTGCGAATGACGTACGTGCAGCTAAGGCCACCCCCCCCCCCCGTGCTGAGAGTACCACTCACGGACCTCCTGGGGCGACGGAGTGTGCTGCTGGCCCTGGCCACCGCCAGTGCCTCCACGACCACCACCGCCGCTACCACCCCCTGGACCACCCCAACCCCGGCCGCTGCCTCGTCCACCGCCACCCCCACCAC